GCAAAAGCAGTAATATTGTGAAATACTTTTACTATTTAAAATAACTGCTTTCTATTTTAATATATTTGAAAATGTAATTTATTCCTTTGATCAAAGTTGAATTTTCAGCATCATTACTCCAGTCTTCAGCGTCACATGATCTTCAGAAATCATTCTAATATGCTGATTTGCATATTAAAAATCTGCATTAAAATCACAGGAATAAATGACATTTTAATAGATATTCACATAGAAAAGAGTTATATTTCACAATATTACTGCTTTTGCTGTATTTCTGATCAAATAAATGCAAGCTTGGTGAGCAGAAGAGAATTATTTAAAAAACACTGAAAATCATACATGTTCAAAAACTTTTGACTGGTAGTGTATTTGTTCACAGAAATGAATAAAGCATGATTTACTGTGAGCAATATCATGTAAAAACAGTGTTTTTAAACTGAAAAGTTCTACTGGTTTCCACAGTTAAATTCGTTGAGATCATTCCTTCCCCTGAACCCAAGGTCAGAGAAGAGTTCTTACAATGTAAGTTACTATAAAGATATACAAGCTCAGAAATGTATTTATATAGCTGTGGATGTAACAAGGGGTCCAGAAATCTGAGACGAGATTGAAAATCTGGGATCTTTTCAACTTCAGTATTCAGCTCAAAATATGACAAAATTAATTGGTAGTGGACAGTTTTAGCTAGACAAAACAGTTTAAACTGATTTAAAAATATTAAATCCAAGTATTTTTCAGCTGTAAAATGTTTTAGCTGATTGGTATTTCAACCAAATATTATTTCTACTTTATATCTAAAAAAATAAAATAAAGAGAGTGAGATTCATGCACTTAAAACACACACAAAGGTACATTTATCAGACACATGAAGTTGTTTTCTCTGAAGTGTTGAAGTACTGTTACCTGTTTTGTTTCCATCAGACTCCTACCAGTTGACTCTGGATCTGAACACAGTGAATCCAGTCCTCGGACTGTCTGATGGGAACAGAGTTATCTTTCAGGGTGACATGAACTATGGGTACCCTGAACATCCAGACAGATTTGATTACTGGGAGCAGGTGTTGTGTAGAAAGAGAGTGTGTGGACGCTCTTACTGGGAGGTTGAGCGGAGTGAAAATGGTATTGTGGATGTAGCAGTGTCATATAAAAACATCCGTAGGAAGGGAGAAGTTGAGAGGAGGGATTGCTTATTTGGATGTAATGATCAGTCCTGGAGTTTATGTTGCTCCGAATACTCTGGATACTCATTCAGTCACAATAATGTAGAGACTGAACTCCCTGTGAAGTCCATCAGCAGGAGAATAGGAGTGTTTGTGGATCACAGTGCAGGAACTCTGTCCTTCTACAGCGTCTCTGACACAATGAGCCTCATCCACACAGTCCAGACCACATTCACTCAGCCGCTCTATCCGGGGTTTAGAGTTTTTTATGGAACAACCATGAAACTATGCAATTTATCAAAATAGAGATATTCTACCAGAATTTTTTTTTTTTAAATCATTGCTTTGAACTGCATTATAAATTAGTGAAAAGTTTGTTATCTGGTGTCTTAGTTATTTTCCATAAACAAATAAATATACTGATGTTGCTCAAAATGTTTGAAATTCAGCTAGATCTTCTCATAACATTAATCTAATAATGGTTGTAATATAAAAGTGGAATAATAATAAAAATGAAAGATTAATCATTGACTTACAGCACAAGCATGACAGTTTTGGACCTCTTGATTGTGTATTGTACTGTGTCGCTTAAGTCTTACGTTTATTATTATTATTACTTTAAATAAAACATTGGTCAGTTATTTGACCTGATGGACTGTACCTGTGTTGATTGTCCTGTGACATT